ACTTACTAACAATATCCTCTTCTCCAAAAATAAGGGAAAAGAGGATCAAGACTTTCTGTCGAGTCTCCCTTGAAAAATGGGCTTTCACAAAAACTTTCAACTTGTCAAACACATAAAAATAATCCCAACAGCAGTATGCACAATGTAATAACATGCAATTTACATAATAGGTCTCCAGCTTTACATCCAACCTTATTGTGGGCGATAACAGAGCGATTCTACAGAATTACAGTTTATGAACGCAATAGAGTGCAAAGGGAATGAAAACAATTAAACGTAGCCCTACAGAATTTCGGGGCTCGATAGTGCAAGTCTCTCTCGGTTCAAGTCTAGCTATTACCTGGGGGCGCAAAACAGAAAACTTGTGAGTGAACAAAAATAAAGTTTTTGTTATAATTGAAAACAACATACTAACCCCATCATTTGAGAAAACGAGGCTAAAAACATGCAATTGAAACTATTCATACATAATAAATGTGAAATCGAAGTACTCTCACACTCCCGATATAATATAATAATATCCAAGTCAAATCTTTTAACTCCATCCAAACCTGTTCCTAAAACCTAAGCTTATAAAACAAAATATGTACAGAGAGCTTTAAAATAGTTAAATGTATATATATATACACATATAGACCACATATATCTCAAAACTGTATAGGTATACACCCCAAAATCCATAAGTATACGAATAATATAATATATTCATATAAGATAGTTTCACACTAACATGAGTACCGGGGGAAACAATCCAACATGAATATTATTTGACTAGCCCGCGGGGTTTCAACTTTCTACCCTGCATCTAGGGATGAGCTGTCCAACAGGGAGACTGCCACTCTACAGCACACACGCAGAAAAATTGAACGCCACGTGTGGCCAAGCCCAACCAACTAAGTCCTTCGTGTGCAGACTACTTTATCACACACCGGATAATCTAACGCCATTTGTGATAAAGTACTAACATAACCAAATGTGCCCACATGCCAGATAATCCAACGCCATGTGTGGGTACAGTAACCAGGGGAGGGTACTTAGCATGGTGCAATCACATATTCACATAACAATCAACAAAGCACCCTAACTCATATTAATCCCTTGACCAATTATTTAATCACAGAGTGAATAACAATTTCTCAAAACATATCATTCGTATTTAAGATAATTATAAACCTCAAATATCAAAATAGCCGAAATTTCCATAATTAAAGGATATATATAAACTCCATAGTCAGAATAATCCATTTTAAATGCATGGTAATTTAATCATTGAAAATAATGCTATTTCAGAGTATCTATTAAAGAATATGAGGACTAGATTAATTAAAACACTTCGAATGAGGAACAAACTCTTAGTTTTCCTGGGACTCAAGTGTGTGTACAATGAACGAGAAGTTTCTAGGGTCCAACTACGCGGTTCGAAAGGTGAAATAACCCCGAAAGACTCGCAATCAACCAAGTGGTCAAAATTCCCAAACTTGCTTAATCGGGCCCGCGAGGCCCACGACCTCCGATGACAAGGCCCGACCTAAATTTCACTTTGAAATTTGAGCCGAACCCTATGTGTGTCCGACACTTGGTAGGTGCCAAGCACACTTAACTAAATTTCCCTTCTAGCTAAAACTCTGAAATTTTTTAGGGATTAACTTCTGCCGAAAATTCAGGGAAATCTCCCTTGTAAATTGCTCGTTTCCCAAACTTTTTCACCTGTACAACATGCAATTCAACTATCCACAACCGTTTAGAATGCACAATAGTAGAATTCATGCAACCAAACAACAAAACTTTAAGGCCTCAGGCCTTACAGAAATCCAAGGGCAATTTCAGAGCAATTCTAATCAATTTAATTTATAGGAAATTTTTTGTTACAGTAGAAGTCCTACAAAGTGGAAAGGATGAGTGGTGAGTGAAGACTACCTATGTTGGTGCTCTGGTACATGACTACTGCCTGGGGGCCCAAAACATTTATAGGTGCAAGTTGACAAAATAAAGTTTTCGAAAATAGAATATTAACATACTAACCCCACTGTTAAAACCATTTGAAAATCCAATTATATCCATGTTCTATATTCGTACAAGAATTAAGACATGCATATTTATACACATAAAATTGATCATGCATTCAATCAAATCATAAAAACCTTTTGAAAGCATTGAAAAGAGGTAATTTCCTTCCACCTCGGTGTACCCATAATAAATCTATCAATTCCAAGATTTTCTACTTAATTCCCACATTATACCGTCAATTCCATGATTTTCGACACATCCTCGCAGGCCTTGAAAACACAAAGTTACCCGAGCCACATTCCTCGCAAAACTCAGGGGACACTTGGTCAACCTGAGCCGCATCCTCACTCCTCACGGTCCAGATAACCCTAAGACTCGTGGGGCCCCTATCAAACGCTTGCTGACTAAACCGAAGGCAACTAGAATGTCCGCGGACATCATTATAACCAAAGGCAACAAATTATCTGAAGGCAACATCTTGGGTACCTTTGGTGGTTTAACAAGTTCCAACTAACAAAGAAATATACCAAACGTTAGTGGGAAGATTGATCTATTTGTCACATATTGGACCAGACATTTCTTATGTAGTGAGCGTAGTCATCTCTAAGTGAAGACCACATGAATGCAATTCTTCAAATACTTAGATATTTGAAGTCTGCACTCGGAAAATACTTATGTTTTGAAAACATGGTCATCTAAGTATTGATGGTTATACAGATGCAGATTAGGCAAATAATGTAACAAATAGAAGATCCACATCTAGTTACTTCATATTCATAGGAGGTAATTTGGTAACATGGAAGAGCAAGAAATAGAAGGTAATAGCTCTATCTAGTGCAAAAGCCGAGTTCAGAGGTATGACTAAAGGAATTTGTGAAACCCTTTGGTTAAGGAAGTTGGTTACTGAACTTGGGTGTGAACCTAAAACGAATCTCTTTTGTGACAACAAGGCTGCAATTTCTATTGCACATAATCCGATTCAACATGATTGCACCAAACATATTGAAGTGGATTGATACTTCATTAAACAGAACCTTGAGGCTAAACTGATTCAATTTCCTTTCGTGAAGTTCGAGGATCAATTGGCAGATATTTTGACAAAGCTGATTTCTGGTAAAGCGTTCCACACGTCACTTGACAAATTGGGCATTGGCAACATCTATGCACCAACTTGAGAGGGAGCGTTGGCGTGACTTGTGATTTTCCTTACACATCAAGGACTCCCATTTTAATTGTAATTAAGAGTTATTACTTTCCTTGTACTATAAATATGATCTCCTACAAGAAGAAGAATACACAGAAAATTCCCCCAAAAAATATTCTCTAATAGTTTCTCATATTTTAGCAAATTGTCATTCAACTTCAAATTCACCAAAAAAATGTCCATCTCCCAAAGTCCTTTGGGACTACCCCGACTAAACTATTTGGGGAAAGATCGATTTCCTACACCTCAGTTAAAGGCAATGTCTTGCATTTATTCATGCATTTAAATGCAAATGAATTTTCTTGTTGAATTTTGATGAAATTGACAGATAGGTTTTTTTTTTTTTTGGTTAGAAGATATTGATAGAGTCAGCAACTTGGATGCTTGACAATGTTCAAACTTTGTTTATGACTAAAATGTAGCACACTGGAAAATTGATAAAATAAAATACAATATTTTAAAGGAGAGTTTGAGATTGGGTAAAGCCTCACACATTTAGGCGGGCTGCAGTAAATTGATTTTATAATAGTCATAGTATATTTCTGATTTTGATACAGAAGAAGAAGAGTCCTGATCCAACTTGTCTGTACGCACAAAAACATTTACTAATTAGTTTTGGTTCATGGTTCACATAAAGGAAGGTAATTGTGAAACACGCAAGGTCTTTGACTTTAGGGTTGGTTGGTTTGGGACGCACTTCGAACAAAAATTTCATGAAAAGTTGAAAATTTCCCATAAGAATGTTTTTCATGAAAAAGTACTGCTCACTAAAGACGTTTTTTTTTTCCAAGTGCGTGCTTTATGACCCAAATGTTCTTCTAAATTTGTGTGCCAACCTTGTCAAAAGCACTTTTACCCCTTTTAAAAGAACCCACAAACAAAGATTTTAGTCTAATCAGTGGAAACTAGTACTCCTACAACTTGTTGTGGTGTTTACTGGCGTATTATATATAATGTAAGGAAGGTGGTGTGGGATTGGGAAAGGAGGAGTGAAACTTGTACCAGACTGTCTATCATTAAAAATGGTTCCCAGGGCTAACTACGTGATGAGTCTCTTCATCCTAGTGTTGTTGTTCTCATCCGAAGCAACGTTTGCCAGGGTTTCTCATTTTTCAGAAACCAGTTAGTCTCTTTTCCAAAAAATATATATATACATACTATGTATGTTCGTATTCAATGAAACTTCAGTATTTTACCCAAAAACTGTATTCGGATATTTTTATTTGCAAAAGTCTAAAGCTTGTGTCAAAATTTGGGTAAAAAATATAATATCACTCCGCCCCTAGAATTATGCAACTTACATTTTTATTTTATTTTTTATTTATCAATAACTTAACAAATATTAACTTAAAAACACTAGCACGTAACCAATTGGAGGAAATTAGATGGCCAAATGAAACTCGAGTAAGATCATTGCAATTAAAAACATAGTGTGGCGATGAGCCTATCCCCTTGCACTCAAGTTTGAATTCCCTCTTCGTATATCAAATTAATTTAGTCTAATTTAATAAATATCCCTTGTATTGAAAAAACAGAATATGATCGTGTAACGTGTGCATCACATATATAACATGACCTCTCTATTTATAAAGAATAAAAAGTAAAAATTCAGGGGCTCCTTAGAAAGTTCAACATGGGAATCATGGCCTCTTCTCTTCTCTATTAAACATACCCTAAACCCTAAACCCTGATGAGTACTCAAAATAGTCACCAACGATTGCTCATAAAGTCTATCCATCCATAAACACAAGGTACAAATCCATCTAAAGAAAGGAACCCTGTGGGTGTGATGAACAATTGGAACAAAATTATTTCATAATAATTTCTAAAAAGCACTTGTTTCATTCCGCTAAAGCATAAACTAGTAACAGACATAACTTAAATCATCAAACTAGTTATATATATGTCCCACTTAGAGTGCAGGGTCAAACAAGATGCAGTAGATATGGAAGCTCTCATGGTAACCAACAAAAAGCCAGAGAACTGTTTAAGACCAAAACTTTTGCCGCTCAACTGACAATCGATCCTTGTCACTCATGCAAAATTAGTGATATTTGGTTGCAGAATGAAACATGGAGGGATTGCAAGAGGCAGCACCAACAGCAACCAAGGATGAAGAGATATATCCATCAAAATGACTTCTTCTCATAAGAAACCAGCCCATGAACTCCACCTTCTACTTGTGCTGCTCCTGTTCTTACCTGCACAATAAATACATTATCAACTGACTGAAAAAACCGCATTAGTTCTTAATACGACCGCCATAACATCCCAGGTTCCATAAGCAAATGTTCATACTAAGAATTGGTATGACAGATATAACACCTACAACTTTGATGTAAAAGTACTGGAGCCTAAAATTGTGAATGTCTAGGTTAAGTGATCAACCATTTCAGCACATTAAAGGCCATGGAAGCCGCCGCAAATACTTTTGACATATGCAGCTGACACTCAGGGGACCACATTAGCCATATTAGCCCTAATTTGGACTTTAAAAGGGCCCTGAACCTAACTCCATACTCTCTGTTTTAACACATAGCTCTTTTCTATATGTCAGTGTTTGTATATGACCGACACCCAATAGTAGTATTCTAGACTAATGTTTCTTCCTCACTTTTGTTTGTAGTTCCACTTGAGAGTGGCGAACTAGAATACAAAAGGTAGACGGAACAGACAAGATGAGTGAGTTATTGCAAGAATCATCAATTACACCACCATTTCTCATTAAAGCATAGAACTGAAAAGACTTTCTTGATAATAATGCCATGAATAACACAACAACTTATGCAAAATGGACTCCATACCTCTAGCCTTAAAACGCTTGTTCTTAGGAGGTCGTGACCAGATTGCAGAGAAGAAGCACCAAGATCTTGGAAACCTTGTTTCACAGCTTGCATTGTGTAAGGTATGAACTTCAAAACAGAACCTTTGTCTGCAACTGCCCCAACCACCCCCTGTGCAATTTTCAGCTTAGCTGTATCACCCAAGTACCTTTGGTCGCTGCCTTTTGTCATTGCTTCAAGAGATCCCATGCCTCGATATTTTTTTATGCGATGACCATTCTGGTACAGAGAAATGAAATTACTTATATTACAGACACTGTTTCCTCAGTATAGGTTAAGCATACTGATAGCTAAATCAACAATAACAAAGAAATAACAAAAAGCAAGTTGCTTCTAAAAGGGCAAGTATGCTGAAAAAAGCCAGTAGAACAACGTATGGTACATAATTAGAATTATGCATATTGTTCATACATAAGGAAAGATGTGCACATCAAAAGCACTTCAGTACCAATCAAAACAACCAGACAAATCTTCTAAAAGAAATATGGCCCGGGGAAACAAGGCTGTGGAAATTCTTCTCCACGCAAGCTATAAGGTTAAATATTCAATTTTTTTTTTATCATCAACAACATAACAGAGAAACTAAAACACGTCGAAGTGAGAGAGGGAGAGAGAGGCTGCCTATAAATATAACTTTAACATCCATGATCGTGTGTATGGTGGGTTTAATAAGCACAATGACCCTGTGTCCAAAATCAAAACAATAATTAAAAAAATTCAATCAATGGCTCCCTACATGATAATAACTAACAGGCAAGAAATGCTCTGTCCATCCGTGGGTAGTACAGTACCCCACGCATCCATGAGAATCCAAGACTGCACTTAGGCTTCGAACTTGTGAAGTTCTAGTCATCACAGAGAGAGTCCATGTGAACATGCCAATGATATTCCTAAAGATGTGAAAGCACAAAAAATCGATGGCAAGCCAAACACACAGCAATCAAGTAAAACTATTCTATACAGTTATAGCTGAAGCAGTCCAAAAAGGATGAGAAATAAGTCAGGATATGTGAAAAATTTAGGAACACATGGCGTCATGCTAAGTTTCTTTACACATTCATAATTCTAATATTTTGTAAACCTGAGTACTAACCCCCTTCAACTCTCAAAATATCATCAAAATAATTCAATGAAATACAAAAAAAAACATATTCAAGTAACACTCACACAGGGTAGAAGTGTCAAAGTAAAGTTTTAATTTCTGGTGTAAGCAGCATATCTGTTCTGGCAATAAAAGATGCGTCATCTCCCTGACATACCTGATACTCATAAGCCCCAGGAGCCTCAGTGCTTCCAGCTAAGAAGCTTCCCATCATGACAGTTGAAGCCCCAAGGACCAAAGCCTTGACAACGTGTCCAGAATTGGAAATTCCACCATCAGCAATGACAGGCACACCACTTTGTGAAGCAATAGATGCAACCTTGTAAACAGCAGTTGCCTGAAACATATTACCAAAACCGAAACAACTTTAATAATAAAATGGTATGACTATCAGCAACCCTTAAAAAGAACAAACCCTTGTAACCAATAACATAACTTCCAATCCATTCACCTCCAGATTCTACAAAATCTTAATTTAACCACCACCAGTCATAACACAACCTAAAGCATCATTCACAAAAACAAGTAAACAAAAAAGAAAGTATTTTTATACCTGCCCCCGCCCGACGGCGCAGACCTCTTGTGTGGTACAAATGGAGCCAGATCCCATTCCAACCCTCAACCCATCAACACCAGCCTGAATCAAATTCTGCGCCTGACTCACCGTCACCACATTCCCACCAACCACATCCAAATTCGAGTAAGTTTTCTTCACATACTTAATCATCTCAATCTGATAAATGGAGTTCCCCTGAGAGCTGTCCAACACCACCACATCAACCCCTGCCTTCACCAACCCCTCCAATCTCTCCTTATCTGTCTCCCTTGTCCCGATTGCCGCCCCGACCCGCCACGCCCCGTTGGGCCCCACCGTCCCCACCCCCAATTTCGGGTACCCTTTAATCCTCTCCACCTCCTCCTTCGCCACCACATCCACAACCTCATCGTCCCTCACAGTAGCCACCACATCTCGCCTTTTCTCCTCCATGTGCTCCCCAATCCGCCCCAAATCGTAACTCCACGGCACCGTTAAGTCCGTACAGTTCACCATGTAATCGTAAATCTTCACCTCCTTGTCTCCTAATGTCGCCCAATCTCTACCCGCCACGTACCCCAAAAGCTTCGAACTGGGACCCCCATTCTCAGTGACCAGGACGTAGGGGTTGGAAGAGTCGAAGACGTCATCAGATTGGATTCGATCGCTTGGGGATTTGAAAACGGGATTGGAGAGAACCGGGACGCGGCGGGATTTGACGGCTTTAACCATGTGGGCTTGCTCAGACGGCGTCGTGTTGGAGTGGATGATGCCGATGCCACCGAGGGCGGCCATGGAAATGGCCATGTGGGCCTCGGTGACGGTGTCCATGGGGGACGAAACGCAGGGGATCGAGAGAGGGACGCGGCGGCTGAGGCTGGTGGCCAAATGGACGGAGTCGGTGGGGAAGTCGATGTAGTGAGGAAGGAAGATGACGTCATCGTAGGTGTAGGAGTAGCCCTGGTTGAAGAGCCGATCGGAGGAGAAGCCATCTTCGAAGATTGAACTTGACATTGCGGCGGTTGTGGCGGTGGGTGTGGTGGGGGCGGCGGCTAGGGAGAGAAAAAGAGAGTTGGGAAGCTAGGATATAGGAGAGAGGAGAAAATAAAGAAGTAGGGTTCAGGGGAGTGCGATGGAAGCGGCTAGCGAGTTGCGAAATTATGGAGGGAAACGTCCAAATTTATTGGTTGGGTGTGAGCGGGTGCATGGTACTCACTGTTCCTCTTTTTCCTTTTGATTTTTTTACGTGATTTATTTTCATGTTATCAAATATTATAAGCTTTTATACATGCATCAATCAAGAAGCTAAAGTAAAGTCATTGAACCCTTTTTTGTTGCTCTTTCTTTTCCTTGTGTAAAGTTGTTTACTTTAATTCATTCTTCCAACATCTAAGTGAGATTTAGTATATAATAACATCCTTAGTGGTCGACAATGGCATAAATTTGAGTAAATAAAATGGTTTAATTTTAAGTGGGTCATCATAGATAAATAAATAACATAATTTGATACATATAAGATAAGATTAATCTTCTAGTAGATTAACCACGTGGCCACATTAGTATAAGAGTTTCCAAGTCTTGGGATAATATATATTAATAAATAGATAAACCTTGTCATGGTAGGTAGGTTACAACTTACAAGGAGGGGTGGGCACGGGTGGGTTTGAAACTGTAGAGAGCTCTTTCATTAACTATACTAAATTTCTTGGTAGAGTAATTTCTCTTCTATTAATCAATCATTAAGCCATTTAACCGGTCGGTTGATTAACTGTAAGTTCAGTTCGTGTTGGTTCAGTAAGTCATTAAAAAAAAAGGTTCTTCGATCTAAGTCCAAAATTCCTAGCCTTCTTTGGGCATAGTCCACATCTTTTTTGCTGTAGATTTGGGTCCATTGATTTTTATTAATTTTTTCATGTGTCAATTTTACCATTTGAGGTAAATAATGAAAAAATATTAATTGAAAACCCAAATTAATCTATTGATTCTTTCCTTCTAAATAAATTTCATATTTTAAATTTTGAATCCTTCTATTGCCGTCATGACATAAAAGAAGTTCATATAAAACAATGAAAATAGGAGAATTATTGATGATATCTTCCCAACAAATATTTACCTGACTACTAGGTAAATAGGATATAATATACCTAATTATTAGGTAAATATAAAATAATGTACCTAAATACTAGGTAAATATAAGATAATGTACCTAAATACTAGGTAAATATAAAATAATGTACCAAACACATAAGTAGTATACTCTACTATACCTGATAAACATGTATATTTTAGAGAAAATGTGTGGATTTGAGTGATACAACCAATAATCGTAAAATGCCACAACAAAAACATGGAAAAAATAGGAAAAACTGGAAGATAATTAACTATCAAGGAACAAAGGAATCGAAAATGATGTGGGGGGAAAACACAAAACCCACTTGTGTTAATGGTTAATTGCATCTTAATTAAAGATATTAGGTGGGAATGAACTTTACAGCAACAAAAAGGTGAAGAAAAAAAGTGAGCTAAACAAAATCAAAAGTAAAACAATGAGGAATTGTATTATCAAAGAAGAAAACAAACAAACAAAATCAGTGAATAACAAAAGTTGTGGCAAAGAGTAAAAGAATATTTATGTACCTTGTGTACAGGTTGCCATAGTGTAAGAATACAAAGCCACAACATGCCAACGTTCATATAGGAGCATGACTGAAATATAATAGCTATTTCAAAAATTATAGGAGACGTGATGTGATTTGTGGCAGTATTTTCCGTTTATATCATTTTGACAATATCATAATTATTATGACAAAAATTAATTTCTTACCTTATTTAATTTTAGGACCATGATGGGAATAACAAAGTAATTTAACAATGAAAAAAATAATATGTAAATATCAAAAAAAAACAAAACAACAAAAAAAAAACGGAATGTAATCATACGTGGCACAAAAGTCAAAGGACTTGTATCAACAACAACAAATACAAGGATTGCATCTGACTTCTATTTTCGATTTTGGACTTATACCGAATTTTATATTAAAAAAATACCAATAATCCAATTTATCTAAGTAAGAAATGAAATAAATTAAAATTAAAGTTACAAACCAACATAAAACAGATTCCAAAACCCTTATTCCTTGCTGCAGCTTACTGTTAAAAAAAAAAAGGCAATAAGGAACATATTCCCTTCTACTGTTATAAAATTAAAAAAAAAGGGCAATAAGGAACATAATCCCTTCTACTGTTAAAAAAAAAAAAAAGCAATAAGGAACATAATCCCTTCTACTTTTTATATTGGATTTGGCAAAGCAAATACTTTGCCCATTATGATCAGTTGATTCATTTGCCTTTCAACCTTAAAAAAAAAAAAAGGTTTGCTTTGCTCCAAATTATGGATCGTCTGTTTCTCTTTCTAGTTGTACTTGTACTGGTGGAATGCTTATACACAGCAGAGGAAGAGAAAGAAAGAAAAAAGACCTACAATCTGTAGCAGGAAAGTTATTGAAATCTACATTCATCAGTGAGCAACCAGTAACCTACATAATTTTTACTTACAAAATTCCTGTTCAAATTATGGTCACATACACCGAAATTTTGTACCTTTCGTGTCGATAAATTGAAAAGGAAAAAAATAAAAAATAAAAAATAAAAATGATCTGCATTGTGATTGTGATTGTGATCTTGTCTCCTCTGATCAATAATAGACAAAGTGGCACCCATCATAGCCTGTGGAAGAAGACATCACCAAAGATAATGGATCAGTATTTATATAACCTAAAATGCTTATAAATAAATACTAAGTTTCTTTGTTGTGTGGCTATAATAATAGTTTTGAAAGATATGCACCATTGATTTATGAACTTACTTGGATCGACAGTGACTAGCATGCCAGTTCCTCCAAACTCACAAGTGCCACCAGCAACCTTCGTCCTTTGCCAAAAGCTATTGAAGGCATAGGAAGCATGGGCAAACAATGAGTTGGGCTCAAAGCACGGCCCACTGGGCTGAATGGGCCCGCAATCTGCTCCCGATCCACAAGCATAATTCATAGCTTCTTGAATGATTGGGTCGGGCACTGACGGCTTAGCTACGCACCACAGGGCTGCCTTTGGGCCTCTTTTCGGAGTCGGTGGTGTGGTTGGTGGGGGGAAGATAATAGGAGGCTCGAACACAAGCGGGCTTGGCTGAAACCCGAAAGGAGATGGCACCGAAGAAGGTGGGTTTGGGACAAGGGCCGGCGGGCTGGGCTCATAATCAGGTGGGCTTGGGATATAGATAGTGGGACTAGGTATGAAGTCTGGTGGGCTTGGGACTATGACAGTTGGGCTTGGGACAGTTTCGGGTGGATTAGGAGTGGATTCGGGTGGGCCTGGGATAATGATTGTTGGGCTTGGGAAGGTTACGGGTGGATTCGGAGTGGAGATAGATTCTGGTGGGCCTGGGATAATGATAGTTGGGCTTGCTGGTGGGTTTTGAATAGGAAGGATTGGTGGATAGGGTATTGATGGAGTCGGGGTAAAAATTGTAGTTGGGGTTTGTGGGGTATTGGGTGCAGTTGTACAATAAGGAGGTGCATTTTCAGGCAAGGAAATTGGAGCCAATGAATCATAAGGTGGCAATGTAAGTGGTGAGCTCACACCATAGGGCTGGATTTCCTTTGATCCCTCCAATGGAAAATCAATTTGCTTAATTAACTTCAAATTCTTTGCAGCTTTGAGAAACAGACTTCTCTGATGTGCTGGACTTGGAACAGCTTTTAGTAATCTCATTGATCTTCTTGCCTCTGCCAAAACATTTAGGCTTATCAACTAAATTTCAAATCATCTCTAAATTCAGTGTCTCCAAGGCTTACAATGCCATTTGGTAAACTTCATTGTCTCCTGCATCTAATTATAAAACGAAATAGGTTAAATACGACGGGTTGTGAATTCTTTAAAGAAGAGGCTTACCACATTGACAGAAGGAAATAGTTGCCAGAGCCAAATAGAGAAAAAGAATGCAAATTCTTGTCTGCTCTTTGTTTGTGGCCATGACTTGCAACAATACCCAAAACTCCAAGTTAAGCTTCTTCTTCTCCTTTTGCTCCAATTCCCACCAAACCCAAAGACTAGAAGCAGGCAGAGGCAGGCATGCAGAAGAAGCTTTTGAATATATAGAGAGGCTAGCCAAGGCAGCCTTGGACCTCCCTAGAATTGCCCAAAAGATAGGGTAAATGCTAGACAATTGGCTAATTAAGTTGGCCATAAAGATTGATTCTTTAGCAGTCCAACTTTCAGTCACTTTGCTCAGAAATGTGTGAATGAAGAAATACAAAAAGGGTCAAAAGGGTCTAAGAGAATGTGTATTTCATTGGAAGGTGAATTGTTCAGTCACAGCCTGCATAAACATCTTTTTGCCTCATTAATAGTTTTGCATGCAGAAAACCATGGAATATATGCTTGCTTGATCTTGAAAAAAATGAAAGTGTGGTTTTTTCTGCCCTTTTGTGTTGCTTGCTTTCTACTCAAAGCTCTCTCTCTCCTCTCTCTCCTCTCTCTCTAAGTGGGGAAAACCAAACCAAGATACAAAGGTGTATATGCGATATTCAAATCAAGAACTGGTTTTTTTTTCTTCTGTTCTCTAAGAATGCTTGTGACAATCATTTTTGTTCTGATTGCATACCCGCTTGGATTTGCTTTGTCCAAATTATTTTTACATCTTTAGTTAAAAGTACATGTGTGCAGGCTTGATTATCAAAACATATAATGCCTTTAACATGTTATTGCCTTTGTCCTAATTATGAAACATCAAGTTAAAAGTACATTTGCAGGTTTGAATACGAAACATAATGCCTTTAACAAATTGCTCCCAGAGGTTACTCTGAACACCATGTCCCCACCAAGGATTACTTATAATCTATTGGATCTCTGCAAAATGAAGGGTGCTTAGTGCTCTAATGCTCTTGACAAATCTAGAAATTAAGGCAATGCCATATTCCTTAAGCGTGGAAAAGTGAACTTGTAGATCGAGTACATACATGTAACATGCAGCAAAAGGCAGTCTTATAGCCTTGAGATTTTAGAAACAAACTCCCCCTCCATGTTCTTTTATTCGGGGTAGCTTCCAATCAACCTAGTATTAGATTCAAAAGCTTAGTTAATC